TCAGCTCAGAGCCCTCCAGCTGCTTCCCCAGACTCCTACATGTGCTTCTCCATCTCTGATGCCTAATTGAATGGAGGCACCTTAAGCACCAATTGCAGATGGTTTTGTTATTTAAGTCAATTCAGAGCACTCTGCATCCAGGGCTTGGCCACCTCTAAAACACCTTCATGTTCCTCAGATGTGAAAATGGCAAGAAATCCAATTTATTTATTATTTTAATTCAAGTTGAAGGACAAAATAGGCATGATAGAGAGGTAAGAAAAGCAGACACATTTAGGGATTTAAATATCAAATATAATGACATATATTGGAGGTATTAAAATGTAACACAACAGCCTGAGTTCTACAGAAAATTCTAATATTATCAGTTATCCCCTCTTTCCAGTTTTCCTTTGGGACACTTAGCATGGCAGGAAACGCAAAATCCCTTACATCTTTCTTTAAAATTCAATTTTCTCAATTTAGTTTTCAAATTTAATTTAAAAATTGTTTAAACTGTTTTACTTCCCATAAAACCTCAGACTATCAGTGTTCCTAATGAGAAAACTCCCAAAATACTGAATGATGCTAGTGTCCAGGCAAAGTTGCCATGAATCCACCAAACAACAGTTCTTAATACCCTATTTATGAGAAAAACAGGACATACCACAGTGTACAGATACAGTATCTGATAAGAAAGACAGAAAGATAGAAAGTAATTGTATCAACACAGTGTTCAAGGAGGTTCAAGTTCAAGCACAAGTCTTTTGGTCAGTGGAAAAAAAACATTAGCAGAAGAATTACTGTTAAAAATAATTCCATCTTGTTCCAGTGATACCTCTTAAGCTTTTGGTTACTATTTTCTGTGTCATTCTCCATTGTTACTGAGGTCCAACACAAGGCTGTGAGACACCCATAGTGGCAGGAGGCTCTGCAATACCAGAGCCATCAGCAGAATTTGGGCTGCTCATCACGTCAAGAAATTCCTTTCCAAATTACTTCAGAAACTCAGTAGGGCCTGAAGAAGGCTCTTTGAAAGGCAGTAACGCGTCACTCATTTCAAAAGATGAAGTTGACTGTGCTGGTTGAGCTCTCTGCCATTGGAAGGTGTTACACCTTCACACCAGCTCAGCTTCACATGGATCTTCATCTGTCTGCAAAGAGACAGACAGGCCTATTGAAGTGCTCTGTTCATCGGCCCTTTTATTTCATACCATGTGATGGTGCCACTTGCCTTGAAGCCACGTACTTGTATTGTCCATAAAATGACATTATAATAGCTCAAGTAGAGCTTTAACACTGTATGTCCATGGTAAATATTTTCTTACAGAGTTATGTGGAGAGAAATCAGAGTAAGAAATCAGTTTGGCAAGGAAAGCCGAACTGGCACGTGGGCAGCTCTTGGTAGTGACAGCTGCTGAGGAGTTTGGGGCCAGATAAATCTTGATTTCTTTGTTTTCCCCTCATCGGCACAAAAGAAACAAGATACAAGTTGTTATGCAACTTTGGAACGAAGCCAGCTTTATGAAACATGGCATGCTGCCTTCCTGCCAGAAAATGCTGCCTTGGGTCTCCTCCTGTGCTCCTTGAGATAAGGCTCTGCCCTCCCCTGCCTTACCTCTCCCTGGCATTCAGCCTTCCTCCCTGCCCTCTGCTCACAGCACTGATGGCTACATTTTTTGGCAGGGCCCTTTGATAAACACAGTGGGGTTCAACAGAACCCTTAAGCACCCACTGAGAGACCTTCAGCCTCAACGCTTGGTGAAGCACATTTCATTAATGCCCTTCACAAAGAGCAACAGCAAAGTGTAAGCCTGAAAGCAGCAAATTCCTCCAAATGCACAGCCCCATATCTTACAAGATCTTGTACATTTGTGAAGCCGTGGTCAGGAAGTGGGATTACCGATCTGTGTCACCTGCAGCGGCCACTGACGGCCCCCTGCCCTCTCACCATGAGCTTCACGTCTCTGCTCCTTCCCCTGCCCCAGACCATGAGCTGGTGAGAAGTTATTCATTTTGCTGGAAGGGAAAACTGCTGTGACATGATTGGGCAGTGTTGGTGGTTGATCTTAGCGTGTGACAGATGCCAGGCAGCTTATTCCTCAAGCAAACACAGTGAAATGCCTCCCTGTGTTGCAGGGCAGAGCTGTGCCAATATTCCCATGGCCAATTGTCCCAGTATTTAAGGCAAATAGGGACCATTGGGGTCATCTAGTTTATGCAGGCAACACAAACTAAAGGATTAATCAGTGAAAGAGCTGCTGGAGCTGTGTGGCAAAAGGAGTTGAAGCCATCAATGAATTGGGCTTGTGATCCTTTCAGAGCTGTTAGCTCTCCTTCCTGGGATTGCCATATTGCAAATAATGGATCAAAAGAAATAAAACAAGATGGGCTAAACTGCAGCACATGTGCTGCCCCTCATGGGACAGCAGCCTGCCCTGGTTGTCTTTCCACACATGCTACGCAGAAAGACCACTGAGGTTTTTCCTGACCAACCAGCTAAAACATCTACCTAATTATACTCTGGGCAGACTGAAAACAACAAATGGAGATCTGTCAGCATGTTTTGTCTCACTCTTTTAGGAGCAAGTCTCTGAGGTTTTTCAGAAACCATTTTTAAGAGGCTTTTCCTCTCCCCTCCCTTCCAAGTGAGTGGCCCAGTTACTTTTGTTGGATTAAAGCGCAGTCAAGCATTACAAAAGCAGGGATATATTTAGTTTCCACCCCAGGTCCTAATTTGTGAGTGGTAATTCCAGTTGTTTGTCCTTCTACGGGACTGTAATTGCTTTTTATCAGCAGAGTCCCATCTGCTGAGGATCTGCTGGGCAATGCCCTGGCTGTGAGACACACCCTGATCTTGTGCTGCAACATGAGATTAGGAAGAGCTTCCATTCCTGAATTATGTGATTAAAAGGAACACAGTAGGTGATGAGAGGTGCAGGACGACTGCACAAAGCTCCTTGAGAATGCTGGACCCTGTCTTTCATCAGAGTCCAGAAAGGTATCAACAAAACCAGTTTGCAGGGAAAGAGCAGAGCCTGTGACTGGCACAGCATTGCTTCCTAGAGCCTCAGAGGAGGAATGCATGTGGTTAAACCCGGGGACTTCAAAGGAATAAGATGAAGGAGGGTTCAACGTTAGCAAAATTGAAGGTTTTTATAGGATATAAATGGCTTTGTGTCTCATTGAAAGGGTAGAAGTCCCAGGGGCAGAACAAATGATAGAGGAGGTTTTGGAGAAGAGACAGAGAAAGCCAAGTCTGGAAGAAAAAAGTGAATAGATAAGAATGAAAGGAAATAGATGGTGAAAATGGGGTGCAATAAGGTCTTCTAAGGCTTGCCAATAACTCTTGAGAGTTAATTGGTATTTCCATTTCGCGGTGCTTTAAAGCCTTGTGTTTGTTGATATAAAAGAGTCCCACTCCACCCCAGAGACCTACACAGGCTGTTGTTGTCTGCAGGAGACAGTCCTGGCAGTAAATCCAGAGACACTGGTTAATCTGTGAGCAAAACCAAATACAAAGACCCAAATGCACAAGCAAAGTTCAGCAAGAGCAATGTGAGACCACACTGTAGTAATTTCCTTCTCTTGCCTCAAGTCCAAGCGCACAAAAGCAAAACACCCAGCCAGTCGTGCAAGAGTGGGGTTTGAGGAGCCTTGAGGCCTCTCTGTTTTGAGGCTGTTTGACAATGCAGTGTAGCAAACCTCAGCCCATCTCCAGAGGCATCAGCTGCTTCCCCGTTTTAGGCTCAATGTGATGATGTAAAGCAGCCAAGGAGCAGCAGTGGGGGTTGGCACAGTGATGGGGACAGCTGCTGCCAGAGGGGCAGGGCTGCGGGGTCGTGATGATGGAGGGAGCAAGAGGCAAGAGGGAGCTGGAGAGTGAAAGACACAAAGGGTTGGGTTGGGGTCCAAGGGAGGGTAAGAAGGTTGCTGAAGTCTTGCTGTCTCTGACAGGTACAGTGGAGCAGCTGAAGTTCACTGACAGTCGCCCGTGTTTGAAGAACAGACGGTTTGCAGTGTTTTGGCATTCTTAGGTCTCACTGACTTCCGTCATGTTGTCCCAAAAGTGAGCTGGGAGACAGCTAGTGTTTAATCCCTACTGAAAATGAATCAAAACAGGAAACCCAGCTGGTTAGCTTGCCTCTGAAGAGCAAATGCACGTGTAGTGAATTCTGCAGAAGCATCAGATACTGAGCCTCAGCTCCGCTCCCACCCGCTGTGTGCAGGCGTCACCTCACCCCTCTCTTGCAAAAGCTCAGTGCCACTGGCCAAGGAGCTATGGGGTGAGAATCCCATAGGAAATAGGGTACACTGAGGTAGCTGGGATATTTGGATGTCTTTTCATCTCATACCCATTCCTAACTGCCCATACTGTGATCAAGGTATCTGGCATATGGTGAATAATAACACAGCACAGGCGGCAAGAAAAGACCTTTGTCAGAAAGTTTTTGAGGATATTATGTATTTTAAAATTTCCTGTTATTTTTTTTCTTAGCTGAAAAGCCAAACAAAACAAAAACAGAAAAGTGTTGTGGTCTTTGGAAAACAGATGTGGTAAAAATGTGCATTTTTGATAAAATGCATAGTTTTGAAATGCTCAGTACCCAAACTTTTTTTAGTAAATTATTTATTGTTTTATATCTTCTTCAGCATGAAAGAGTAGTGTTAGTAAATTGAACATGGAAGGAAAACAGTCCTTTTTGGTTAAAAGAGCACTTCATTTTGTTGGAAATAAAAAAGTAAAAGCTGAATTTCAACCAAAGGTTTTGACTGGTTCTCTAACAATCCTTGAGCTGAGTTAAAGTACATATATATATGTGCATATATGTATGAGTATGAGCAAAACATGTGCAGGTGCCATATATGAGATGTTTTGTACTTTTAAATGTCTTACATAATCAGTTAATTTGCTTCTGCTCCATTAAAATTAAATCTCCCACGGACATGACAGTCTTGTCTAATTATTCACTTAATCCACAATCATTAGCATCAACCAAGTGTTTTTCTCTGTCTTTTAGAAAAAAAGGACTTTGAAGGGTTCTGTGGAACTTTCCAGGATTAAATGTGTGGAAATTGTGAAAAGTGACATCATCATTCCCTGTCAGTATAAATACCCTTTCCAGGTGAGTCTGTCTGTTGACCATACTGATAGAGATATCACTTCAATATATTTCAATAAAATTCTCCCTCACAATGCAGTTGTTAATGAACCCAACACCAGGGTGAATAACAGTGAAGGAAGAAAAAGCAGATTGAGGTTGGAATTGAACTGGGGAGTCAGTCAAGATCCATAAACCCTTGCACTCTTTGGTTTTAAATTGGAAAGGATCATCAGATCGAATGCTATCCCATGTTTAACACAACATTCAGCTGTCCCACTGACTCATGTGCAGAAAAAAAAACATCTTTCACATGGGGAATCCACTCAGGATTTTGTCCATTTTACCTGTATGGTACTGAAACTGAACACACATAAAATGAGTGATTTTGGGCAGTTGCTCATGCTCATGACTACATCTTTGGGAGATCTACTCACTGCATATTTAGAAATCTGCCTTAGGCATTATACAGACCTAACAATAATATCAACAGGAGAGACTTTGGCGGGAGTTATTTCTCCCCTTTCTCTATTTTATCGCTCTGTAGCATGCAAAGCAACTGCATCACTCTTCAAGGACTTCAGACTGATATGGAAAATCTTTTCTGTTCTTTAGACAATAATCAATATTGCCTCATCTACACCTCTGCAGAAACTTTAAAAATCAGCTATTGTCTTGTAGAAGCCTCTGTTTAAAGACAGTGGTCAAAGTTTTTCAAGGCACCTGTGAATCAATGAGCCCAGGTCCTGTTTGGCATGAAACTGCTGAGCTAAACATTGAAAGAGAACTGTAGATTATGCATTACATCAAATATTAGGCCCAAATATAGTAATTCAATTCAGTTTCTGATTCATTTTTGTTCTTGTGATGATTTACTCCTGGTCTGAAACTTCACAAGCTTTCTCTATTTCTCATCATCTGTTTGTTTGTAATTAAGCCAAGTTGATGAAAACAGCATCTTGATTGCTCATTGTTCATCTGCTCCAGCTACTTCCCCTCTATAAACCTACTGAAAGATATTAAAAATATTGAAAAATAATAGCATTCAAATAATCTCCAGGGAGTTGCTTGAGATTTATACTGACACACACAAAAAAATTGGCTCTTAGATCTTAAGTAAAGGTATCTTACAAGGAATTGCTAAAAAACAGATGCCATTTTCCCAGAGAAATGGAGTTTTAGAAGGGTAAACTGCAGCCAGTGAGTAATGGGCTGAATCCTCTGCAGGTTGGAATTGCTCTGTTGATTTCACAGGCATTTCTTAACAGCATAAAAGGGATCTAAACCAGTGCTTGTCTAGAATTCTTTCTTGATAAGAATTTCCATTCCATTTTAAATAGCGAAAAGTCGATGAGCTTAAGAGATGCTCATGATGCTTCTGAACAGGCCCTGTCGCTCCACTCCCCCACATCATCATTTTGTGTGCAACTTGTTGGTGAGAGGGCTGCTGCCTGTTTCCTTTGGTGACACCATTGTGCCCAGAGTATCTGGGATTGCTTCTCATGGCTGAGTCCCTTCTTTACTCCCCTCTCCAGATCGTCCACGATAGCTACCTACTCTACGTGTTTGCTCCCAACCGTGAGAGCCGGCAGAGATGGGTCTTCACGCTGAAGGAAGGTAATAAACCCTGTGCCCACCTAATTGTTGAAGTTACCTCATTCCTGTGCAGTGACCAAGCACTGGAACAGATTACCCACAGTGGGTGTGGAGTCTCCATCCCAGGAGATATTCCAGATCTGTCTGGACACAATCCTGTGCCATGTGCTCTGGGATGACGCTGCTTGAGCAGGGAGGTTGGACCAGATGAGTCACTGTGGTCCCTTCTAACCTGAACTATCCTGTGATTCTGTGATTTATCTTCTTCTTGGATAAACTGTTAATATGTTACTGTAATTTGAGGTTTCTTATTCAGCAAGAGACAAGCATGTTACTACAGCTAATTTTTTTAAATAATCAATCCTTTCTACATAGAAGATTTTTTGCGTCTTATTAATTTTTTGTTTGATGGCAACCTTCTTAGAGAATCATGACTATTAAGAAACGTTTTTGTGGGCAGCTTTCATTTCCTGTTCCCCTCCTGAATTGTTCTGTGGTTGCTGCCATGGTGCTGAAGCGAAGGCACAGCAACGAACCACCGTGGGCAGAGACGAAGCACAATGCTTGACGTAAGGATGGTGTTGGTTACATGAAAACTGCACCAGGCTTCTGTCACAGCTTTGTATCATAAGCTGCTGTATTGTGTCCCTCTGAAAACACTGTGCCTGATGGAGGTATTGTGAAGTTCATGCAACTGACTCTTGCAACCAGTTATTCCCTGTCTGGAATGCCCCTGCTACAAGCTCCTACTTCATCACCTCTCCTCATTCAACATTTTGAGACTGTCCCATCCCTTGGACAATTTGAACAGTCTCTTGAAACAGGCCTGCAGAACTTTTCTGCCCAGGAAAGTTATGATTGCAGATAGAGAGCCTGAGCTTCTAAAAGAAGTACTTTAATCACTCCTGAAGATATTCAAGACTGGTATTTACAAGTGCAAAAAATGTTTAGTGCTGATGAATGCCACACTTGTACAGCTCCTTCTGAACAGCAAGATGAAACAGCAAGTGTGCTGAGAATCATCAATATATATGGCCTGACAGGTTTTATTTCTTTTTATGTGGCCTGCCTTCTCTGGTTTTGGTGTTTTAGCATTTTAAGGAGAGAGTCATACTGGTAGGATTCTGTTCTACTGCAGTAGAGAGATATGGGCTCCACCACCACCTGGAAAGCTATTCCTCCACGTCAGTGGTGGCATTTACTCCCTTTGGGAGAAAGGAAAACATTAATGGAGGAGGTTGATAATGTTCACAAAGCTTAGTTTGACAAGAATAAGAAGTTTCTTTAAAGCGCAGATTATTTCCATTTAGTTCTAGATGTCTTTTAGAGCTGATGTGGATACAGATAAATTAATTTTCCTTCTTCTTCTTCTTCTTCTTCCCCTAATGTTTTCCAGAAACTAGAAACAACAACAGTTTGGTTTCAAAGTGTCATCCAGATTTTTGGTTAGATGGCAAGTGGAGATGCTGTGCCCAGACAGAGAAGATGGCAGTTGGCTGTGTGGAGTATGATCCCTCCAAAAATGGTATGGGATTTGTTAAGACCATCCTGACCTTGCAAATATTTATTCCTAGCAAAAGTACAGGATTGAATCTGTCTTGTAGAGAACATTAAAAAATATTACATTTCCTTCAAGAAACATGTTGCTGCAGGATATCCTATTTTGTTCTAACCATATTTCCTCTGTGGTTTCAGTGGCCAAGAGTAATCCTGACTTTGTCTCTTGAAAACACATAGTGGTCAATCATTCTTCACCCAATAAACTTTTACCTTGTATCTGGGTGATTCCTTAAGCAATCTGAACCCCAGTTTCAAACCCCTGCTGTGTGGCTGAGATTCACTGTGTAGGTGCAGTTGGCATCTCTTGCTCTAAAAGTTCAAGGCTCGCTATTCCCTGGGTTTGTATCACCTGTATCCATTCATTACATTGATGGTCTCTCCACTGTTTTTGTCCTGATTGGCTTCAAATTATCTTTCTTGATTTCATTTCAGCCTCAAAGAAGCCTCTTCCTCCCACTCCTGAAGATAACTGGGTGAGTGCAGTGAGGCATGTTAAGCTGTCTTTAGTGTCCTGTCCTGTGTGATTAACTAACAGTGGGGAATGTGTCCTCATTAAGGTTCACCACAGTGCAGTGACCTAGAATTTCACCTGTGATAACATTCCCTGGGCATTTTCTGTGCAACTGAAATTTTTGTATGAAATTCATTGTTTGAAAGTGCTAAAGATTCTCACATTGCCACCATACTCCTCTAGATGCTGTGGGGTGCTTTCCTAGCCTTGTGGCTTTCGAGCCCAGAGGACACGAGTGCTGCCAGGAAAATATCATTTTAGGGAGTATGCCATTGTTTTTTGTGAATATGAATATGATGAGCCTTTTGCCTTGTTTGTGCAGGAATTGTTTCTATACCCCAAGGATGCCTTGGTCATAGCCATATATGACTATGAGGCCCAGAATCCACAGGAGCTGACGTTACAGTATAACGAGGAATATTATGTGATAGACAGCTCTGAGGAACACTGGTGGCTGATTCAAGATAAGAATGGGTAAGTCCCTTTTCAACAGCCAATTTACAAATCCTTTCTAAATCCAATTTGTTCTTCCATTAACATACATGCTGGCCCCTTGTTTAACTTCTGAGAAGCATCTTCTGGCATACAGGAAAGCTGATGGAAGGTTATTTAGGGCCACTTTCTTCCCTTTTAATGTTTTTATTCAGACAGTTGGAGAAAAGTTAATTTTAAAGAAACAAACAGTCCTTCTCTTAGGCTGGTATTTGCTGTGATACACGTAGGGGAAAAAATTGTGAAACTCTCCAGAAGTTTTGAGGTGCAATCAGTTGTTTTCTTCTCCAGTAACCCTGCTAAATACATAACAACCAGCACTTCTATCATGCAATGAGCAGGCAAATCTTTCAAGGCTCACTCCTACAGATGCAGAGGAAATCCTATCTGTCAGCACACTCACACTGTGTTGCATCTCAACAGGCATGAAGGTTACGTGCCAAGCAGCTACCTGGTGGAAAAATCGCCCGAGAATCTGCAAATGTATGAGTAAGTTGTGCCTATGTTTTTCTTGCACCTCTGAGTGCCCTGGATTTGAAGCTCCAGGCCTCAAATGCCCCTACTCCAGAACCACATGTCAGTGCTGGCCCTGGGGACGCTCAGTTCAGCTTTTCAGCAGAAACTTTCCTGGGCTGGAAATGCTGACTCGGAGTCTTCTGATGTTTTCAGGTGGTACAACAAGAACATCAGCAGGAGCAAAGCAGAAACTCTCCTCAGGGATGAGGTAAACCAGTGTTATGTATGAGGTGGATGGGAAATACTAATTAATTAATGACAAATGAAGCCTGCAAGGGCTGCTCTGTGTCAGAGAGCTGAGCCCTGGGGTTCCTGCTGTGCTGCTGTCCTTAGTGTGAGATGCCAGATAAAGAACCACCAGCACCACCCCCTCACCTCCACATTTGCTGAGCATGGGCAGAGAGCTGTGCCAGCCTGCTCTAGCCAAACACACGCAATAACTGTGGCTAGTAGAAAACATTGCTTCAGAACACTGTGTCAACTGAAAACTGTGATGTGAGCTCATCTTTTCAGCCTCTGCAGGAGGCCTCTGGATGCCATTAGTTCTCTGAAAATTTAAGCAAAGTCATGCTGAAATATTTTGGGTGAAAGCCAAAAGTATGGGCTTGGGGTTTGTTTTTTAGTTTTGTATGTATATGTGCATGGGAGAACACATCTTTAATTTTTCAGTTGAGCCAGAGTTTTCCAGCAAAGACTGTATTGAAAATATAAAGAATAAGCTTCTTGTTCAGATTTTCCACACAAACATAACTTCAGTTTTTAAATAAGCTCTTACACTAACAGGTGTCCCAAATAGAGTGTTGTTGCTTGGAATGACAGTATTTAATGGAAATAAAAGCGGGTTTGTGTGGTTTTAAAAATTCTTCTAGCTCCTATAAACTACTACAGGACATGTCCACACATGGTTTAATAATCTTATTTTTCCTCTTGGTCCTACCAGCACAACTTTTCTATGGCAATTACCCCCATGTGTCTGCAGAGACCTCTGGTTCAAAGCTTTGCAACCCTCACAGCTCCCCCCAAAAATGTGGCCAAGTTTGTCAGTGATCTTTGGCCAGGCCTGGTGTCAAGTGGGATTGAAGGGCAAAAGTATAGCTTACAGTAACTCAGGTAGGATGCTGTCACCAAAATTTGCCCACCTTGGATACTTGCCAGGGTAGAGACCCTTTTCAGAGCTTCCCTGTGCTAGAAATTGCATTGTCCAGATATTGGAGCTGATCAGCCCTCTGGGGAGGTGGGAGCGAGTCCAAGGCAGGGTGCACTTGGTGGATTAGTTTTCCCTGAAGTGTTGTGGGTGAGTAGAAGGCATATAAAATGGAGGAAACCAACCATGTAAAGCAAAGGAGGGAATGAAATAATCTGGTACTTGGGATGCCAGAGGAAAATCATCTTTATCTGCAAACAGAAGGAAAATGCGGTTTTTATTATCAATACATAGGCCAGTGCAGCAAGTTCCATCCATACTGTGATGTTAAATCTCCTTTGCCATCTGATCCATCAGTGTCTGGCCCTGTGGGATCATGGCCTATAAGACATGTTAGCATTGAGATGAGTAGAAAACAAAAGTTAAAAAAGAAAGCTGTTCTGTGAGTGCCAGAGAGCAGGGATCTTTCCTACACATTTGTGTTTAGATACTGGATGACTGGTGCACCTGTGAAAGGGCAGGATCATGTCCAAGCTTTTCCCATTTGTGGTACATTGGTAAATTATCATTCATACACTCCCATATGGATTCTCTGGTGTTGGATAAACTGTGCTTTCATTCTGTAGCTGCTCAACAGAGAGCACTCGGAGGGGTTTGCCTTTCCACTCGGATGCACATTTCATTGAACACATGTTCTGTCAAATAGGGCTGAAGGCAATCAATGGGTTCAGAGTTTCTAGGAGAGGCTTGGAGGGACAGAGAGGCACAGCCACATGAACTCAGCACAAGTGCCTAAGTCTCGTTTCCTCTGAGAGCTCTGAGAGGAAACTGAGCTGAAAGCACACAGCACCCAAGAGACACCAGGGTGTACCTGCAGGCCCTGGGCAGCCACCAGAGCAGTGCGTGGGACAACCCAAGCTCTGTCAGTGGGTTGAGGCTCTTTTTTTCCCTACATGTTTAGCACATCCTCATGACTGAGCAGTAGACAGGGCTGAAATTAGCACAGCTTTGCCCCCAGCCTGCTTCTTTTTTTCCATTATGTCTCTAACCAGTTTTCTCTCCTTTGCTCCTGTTCCAGGGTAGGGAAGGTGCCTTCATGGTGAGAGATTCGAGGCAGCCTGGCATGTACACAGTCTCTGTTTTCACCAAAGCATTAAGGTACAGCTGAGCTCAGCAGCTTTTCACATCAATTACATCAATGAAATGGCTTCTGTGAGTGTGTAATCTCTGTGTAGTTGTTTTGGCATTATAACGAGAGAACAGAAGGCTCATGAAAATGATAGAGGAAAACACTTCCAAAAAAGGCAGAGAGTCAGCTGCCAGTTGCAAAGTGTATTAAAGGCTCCACTTCTCCCTGCATCTAAATATGTGCCTATAAATAGTGCCTTAGACATCACTGGGGTTGTAATACTGATGAAATTGTCTCCCCAGCTGAAGTGACCATAGGGTCAACATGGACTGTGTGCTGGACTCATCAGAGGTGGACAGCACAAGATTAGTGAAAGGGTTTCAGTAACGAGGCAGGAGGTTTTGTTTCACAAAGAAAAGGCAGAGAAACTTATAAACTTATGTTATCAGGAAACCTCAGCCTTTCTAGAGATGAGACCATCTATGAGTGAAAAGGAGAACATACAAGTACACAGACTAATTACCAACTGTACTCACTCCTTGTTCCTCCCCTATTCATTCTGGGGGAAGGTTTTCCCCTTTTCTCACTTGCTACTCTTCTGTTTATACCCCAGATTCCTGTCTTTTTGCTGCAACCTAGTTTTCCTCAAAGAAAGCCTCCTCTCTTTCAGCACAGACAACAATCCTGTTATAAAGCATTATCACATCAACGAGACAACTGACTTTCCCAAGCGGTATTACTTGGCAGAAAAGCACGTGTTTGACTGCATCCCTGACCTCATCAACTACCACCAGCACAATGCAGGAGGTGAGTGAAGGCCAGCACTGATCAGGAAGTTGTTGGTTTACCCCGTGCAGCCAGGTGGCTGTTGTGAGTGAAGGAAGGCTCCCAAGCCCTCTGTCCTCACAATGAAATGTTAAATGGCATCACTTCTTCCCAGTTACACCAGCACTTGGATGGCAGTAAAATGACCATTTCAGGCCAGTTTCCAGCTTCCAGCATCACATCTTCACTCTAGTTGTCCTTCTAAGGCTGACTGTGGCCAACACAGATGTCATAATGACACAGCATTGAGAGCCCTGGGGGAGTATCACCACTGCCAGGCCAAGCTACCTGTTTGAATTACACAGCAGGGCCTTCTTGCCCAGGAGGTGATATATTCCTGGACCTTGATTTGACACAAAGTCAGGGACATGGCCAGGATCCATAGCCAGACATGGGAGTCACCAAACACTCCCATCTGTACAGTGCAGGAGTACCACAGGAAACCCTAGGCTTCAAAAATACACTGAAAATAAAAGGTATCATTTGGAAGTTCATCAGAATTAATAGAGACTCACAGCTCACATTTGCAGACAGAGTTAAAATGGAAAATAAGCTGAAACTGCTCAGGATTGGCTTCCTTCTCACAGGCAGGAAATCAGTCTGAGCAGAAGTTCAGCTGCCCTCAAGTGGGGCTGAGAACTCAGTACAATAAACCTGCTTTCACTATCCAAACTGCCTCCTGGGGTAGTGAGAGCCACACTTCCTGTGGCTGTGACAATAACTGGGACCCCCCTTTCCCTCTGTCCCTCAGGTCTCGTCACTCGGCTCAGGTATGCGGTGTCTTCGTGGAGGAAAAAGGCCCCGATCACCGCAGGGCTGAGCTATGGTACAGTACCCTCATGACTATTTGGGAATCACACTCCTTGCTGTTAGCTGGGTGATCCTGCATATCCCTGTGGATATTGATGAATATTCATGTGACCACAGCCATAATAAATAGCTTTCTCCAGATCTTTACACTGCACTGTTCACTGGATTATCATCTTTGTCATTACCATTGGTAACTGACTGAACCGACAGTGCAGTGCCTTGAGGGAGTGATGAGAACCCCAGGGTGTCAATAAAGTCAACATTAACTACTAAAATGAATGCTGAACAAAGGGGATGGGAGTGGGATCATAGCACGATTTGATGAAAGCTGTCTCTCCTGAGAGATGCCTCCATTTGAGTATTGTTATCAACAGAATTTTGCCAGTATCGTCCTTATTGTAATTCTTGGAGACATCAAAGAAACTCAAACCCCATGTTGTGCTCAGTAGTGCACATATGCATGGCAGAAACAATCCTTCCTGAAGAACTGGATAGACAAGACAAAGGAGGGGGAAAAGGGGATGTTGTTGTTCCTACTCTTGAACACGACCTGCAGGACGGACTAATCAAATGAGCTATCAAAGGTCAGACAGGCAATTTGAGGGAGAGACAGAAAGTCTCACACCACATCCTGTCTCCCGCAAAAGCTTTTTGTTTGACATCCTACTGCTCAATCCTTACTCTTTCTCCCTTACAACTGAACAGGAAAATTGGTCATTAACGCCTCTGAGCTCACCCGTGTGCAGGAGATTGGCAGTGGTCAGTTTGGGGTGGTCTACCTTGGCTACTTGCTGGACAAGACGAAAGTAGCCATAAAGACCATCCGTGAGGGAGCAATGTCTGAAGAGGATTTCATTGAGGAGGCTAAAGTCTTGATGTAAGTAGCAGATTCACCAAGAAAATCAGCCCCTCTGGGATTCGTAAGATTGAACCAAAGTGTTGCCAGGAATATGCATCGGGAATTCAAGCTTTGATTATCTGCTATGTATCTAAATAGTATAGAGGGAGACAGGTGAGCTCTGGCAGCTACAGAGGAAGGCAATTCAAAGTGTAGGTGAATTACTGTTCTTCAAAGTCTATCAGTATCCAGAATGGTCTTCCAGATCTCTGCTGCTCAGGGTTCATTTGGGAAAGCAAAGTGTTTTTTGTCAAAAATAATTACATGGAGAAATACCTTACAATTTGAGGGAAATTTTATTGAAAACCTTTACCTGCAAAACTGTTTTTTTGCTTTGCACAACTGGATATATTCTCTTTGGTTTTATTGACTGACTTTGTATTTTTTGCATTTCCCTCCCTTCAGAGCAAACAGAAATGGATTTTATTTTTGTTTGACTGTATGATTTTCCACGCAGAAAAGTCTTTTGGTGACCATCCCCATTAAAAAGGGATGATACTTAGACCTACTTGACATTAGACTTGGTCTACCCATGTGCAGAGTTGGCCTTTGCAGAGAGCAGGGTGCAGCACAGTGGCTCATGTAGCTGTGCATTACACAGTGGCTGTAAGAATAGAAGGCACTGAGCCTATTCTTTTCCACCTTCCCTCCCTATCCCACAGGAAGCTGTCTCACCCCAAGCTAGTCCAGCTTTATGGCGTGTGCTTTGAGAACACTCCCATATCCCTGGTGTTTGAGTTCATGGAAAACGGCTGCTTGTCCGACTACCTCAGGAGCCAGCGGGGCACTTTTTCAAAGGAAACCCTGCTGGGGATGTGCCAAGATGTGTGTGAGGGAATGACTTATCTGGAACAAAACTCTGTCATCCACAGAGACCTGGTATGTTGGTCCCACATAGACTTTTTCTTTGCTCCGGGTGGATGTTTTCCTGTGCTTTCTTCCTTCCTTAATTTCAGCTTTCGCACTCCTCGTACATATTTGCAGGGGATCCTGTATCTGCCCTTATTGCAGAATCAGCACCAATACTTTAGGGAAAAAAAAAACCCAACCCCTGGAGTGCTGATTAATCTATTTCCCTTAATTGTGTTTGGGGGAGAAGAAACAAGCCTATAAAGTTTTTCTTCCTTCCTGAGTGGACCATTTTGCTCCCCAAGAGCCAGAGTTCCTGGGTACTGACTCCTCTTCATGTCTAAAATCAGTGGAGAAAAAAAAAAAAAAAGACTTCTTCTTGCATAATTCATGTATAAACATGCACTGATGATAAAGTACTTTTAATTAGGTGGTGTTCAGTCAAGCTCCATCGGTCACTATGGAGCAAGAACTGTGAGAAGCTGTGGATATTTTAGGGTCTTTCTCTGCCCTTTCTAGGCAATAAGGGCCTGAAAGTTATGTTGATGGTTGAACAGCTTTTCTGGCAACAGGAACATGCTGTAAAATGTACAGAAAGCATGAGGAGCTCAGGGTTTTGTCCTCTTTGTATGGCACAATGTCACTTTGATGCTCTTTTTTAAGCACTATCTGCTCTGCCAGGATAAAAGCCACTGAGTGGTTGTGACAGTCTCTCAGCCCTGACCTGCTGCCTTTGCACCTTCTTTTGTAGGCTGCCAGGAACTGCCTGGTGGGGGAATCCCAGGTGGTCAAAGTGTCCGACTTCGGGATGTCGAGGTAATTCCTCTAAGACCATGCATGGTCCCTGCAGGGCTGTCGTGGGATGGGGAGTTACTCAGCATTCTCCCTTCTTTCCCTGTTCCAGGATTGTCCTTGATGATCAGTATACCAGCTCCACAGGGACCAAGTTTCCAGTCAAGTGGTCTGCTCCAGAGGTTTTCTCCTACAGCAACTATAGCACCAAGTCTGATGTTTGGTCATTTGGTAAGAAACTCTTGTCAAAATGGAAAAAAGTTCAACAAATCCCAGCTTAGAAAACTTAAGGGCTCAATCCTGAAGTAAACTCTTCTAAACACTACATCCTCTGGATTCTAAGGGTGTTCTGTAGCTGTGCAATGCTATATCATACCAAGTAATGAACTGTGTTTCCTGCTGACATAGCAAGAATGTCCAAGAAAAAACTGGAGAGCCACTGACAAGATTACAGAGGAGAGCAGAGCAGAGCAGAGGAAAGAGAAAATATTTAGGCACTCCATCTCTCTGCATGTCAGTCCTAGGCATTGATTCCTCATTCAAACCCTCTGCCTTTCCAAGTTTGCTCTGCTGAGCCCATTTGCTTTATGCTGATCTGAAAATATAATTTCACTGCTCCCATTTCTCCCCTCATTTCCTGGCCCCCAATGCATTGTTTTATGATTTGTGTCCATTCTTTGGTCTCCCTTCTGGACCCTCACAGATAAGAACACCGCTGTATACTTTTTCCCCAAAGCCATAACAAAGGCTATCCCCTGGGCTGTAGATCTGGCACACTCATGGCCCTGGCCCCTCTCCAACCAACATGCAAATCTCTGTTACCGCAGTGAATCGGGGCAGTGTGCTGTGCACAGCACACAGTCAATGGGGTGCCACTCAGCTCCAGGCCCAGCAGTAAATAACGAAGGATTATAACCTTTCCTAGTCTGTGCTTGTGAATGCTGTGCTCTCCTTGCTCTTTGCTGTGGCTCCCATCTCCTCTGCTGTGTTTGAAGCTGTGCACTCCTGGGGTGGGCTACGAGCAGCGAGGCGGGTGCTGGGTGCTCAGGCCCCACACAGCCTCCTTCACAAACTCAACAGGGAGATGCTTCAGGGAGCACCATTCCTCTCCCCATGTTCCCTGGCATGTGGAGGAGGCTGTCAGCACTCACCATGTAATGACAAGGGACAGCTTTTGTCAGTGGAGCTATTGCTGACACCTCACAGCAGTGACATGGGGAGAGGTGCTACTTTGGTAAGAATGTTCTTCTGCTTCACAAATCGGAAACTGGCCTGTACACTGAGAGCCAGATGCTTCCAGAAAGGGTGCTCAGATTGATTTACAGTCAAGCTAAGCCTGGTGAAGTTGGCTTACTCCAGTTTCAGGTCTGAATGAAATACAGGTGAACTTTGCTTGTGTTGGTCAGTCCTTTTGTGAGATGTGCAGACAGTGGGTTGTACATCTGTCAGACTCGTTATCTCCCCATCCAGTGGGGTTTGCATTAGAGGATTCCTCATGGTCTCATGACTGTGAGCAGCTTTCTGCTCTGCTACTCTGTAGGCCATTCATCTCTTCTGCCAGGTCTGAAATCCTGCTGTGCCCAGGAGAACAAAATAGGCATCAGAAACTCCCAGTGCAGGAATCTGCACACTGGGGTAGTACAACTTCTTTGCTTATTCTTCAGTAGGGCCAGTATCATTGGTGTGGAGCTGCAGTCTCTATGCATCTTCCTATTTGAAGATGTCAAAGGTGGAAGCAGACGTAATTGAGCAAAGCTGACTATGGAGTTGCACAACTTTATTTCAGAACAGTCTATAGTCTGTCTCCCTTTCCTAACACAATGTGAACACAGTTTACTATGTGAGGCATAACAGGTGACCAAAGAAATTAAAGCTAATAACAACCCAGATGCCTTGTATTCACTCCATTTGCAGACCCTCTCTGACTTGGAGGCCAACTGCAGTGTATTCGGTCTTTTGTCTTTGCCTGTCTCTCTTTCACCACACTGGAGAAGCTTGAGTTTCTGTACTGCTCTGAACAGAATCATAGGAAAACATTGGACTGTTTAGGAAAAGAAGAAAAATGTGCCTCAATCCTTTGAAATTCCACTATGAGTGCATGTGAATTCATCCCAGAGAATCACACCAGCCAGGACATTTTTCAGGCGAGGAGTTCCCTGTGCTAAGCTGGGTAACAGGAATAGAGCAGTTCATGTGGCTTTATTGCCACTGAGTCTCACCAAAATTAACAGATTTGGCTACAGGACACACTGCAGGCAGGAACATCAGTGACATGTCTCTTCTATGTGATTAACTGGAAGCAAAAATAGATGAACTGAATCAGTGACAAAAAAGCAGCTTCTCTTTTCCAGATTACACATCTGGATGGAGCACATGCACAGCATTCCCTCTTCACAGTTTTGGAGAAGACATGCTCTGCTTTCTGACACATAACACAGCATCTGACTCATGGGGAAAGACATCCCTGTGTGCTAGACTATCACAAAGTAGGATGCAGAGAAGTCAGACTGGTACTTCCACACATTCCAGTGCACAGCAGAGATCCTGGCTGGCATTGTACAGCTGTGTTAGGGCCTGCCTGGTTTTTCAGATGTGTACTGAGAATCCAAGTGAAAATGCTTTTCCAAGTAGCTGACAACAATGTTGAGTTGCAGAGAAGAACAGGTGGAAGGTGGCCACAGGTCTGATGAGGGTTTTATTTGCTTTTTCGTGATTTTTCTCATTTGTTTGCTGTAGGAGTGCTGATGTGGGAGGTCTTCAGTGAAGGTAAAATCCCCTATGAGAATCGCACCAATGCAGAAGTGGTGGAAGAAATCAATGCAGGATTTCGGCTCTACAAACCTAAGCTGGCCTCCAAGGCAATTTATGATGTCATGAGCCACTGCTGGAGGATGGTTAGTATTGTAATAAGAGAGTCCTAGTTCCCAAAGACAAGAGCTCTCTTTCCCTTGGCTTAAAGGAGAAGAGAGAAGTGTACCCATCACATGCTAACACAAGATAAAATCCTGGACGTGAAGCACTGTAGCTTTCATCTGCACCAGCAAGCAAACTCTGGTCTCTCTCCCTTGTATTTAATCTGCTGTTTCTATAGAGTGCATTGACTTCACTAAGGAGCCCGTGTAGTGCACCTAACTCAAGTTAATTCAAAAGTTTCCTTCCTAAGAAAGCTGCAGATCTGTGGGGCTGAGTTCTAACAGTGATGGTAAAGATGACAGCCAAGCTATTAGAAGGTACTTAGTGTCCACGAGACAAAATTCACTGCTAATAGAAAAGAAACATTGCACAGAAGGAAGCTGGTTCTTCCACTGGCATTTTCTCTATAGGGATAGATTGTATTTTTGTTAATACTCCGTTTCTTCACAAGATTTTCATTGCTAACCTTGCCATTCCTCTCAAGCTGACAATAATGTTCGTCCTCTCTCTTCTCTCCCCTGCTCAGAGGAAAGACGAGCGGCCACCCTTTTCTCTTCTGCTGTTTCAGCTGAGTGAAATCTCTGAGTATGATCTGTAATCATGGCACTGTTCACTCAGCACAGCTAAGAGAGTCCTGGGAGGAGAGACGGCTGGATTTTCCCCAACAAAGCATTAACAGGAATCCTCTCACCATAAACACTTGCCATATGCCTGGGGAGAAGAGAGGGCAGAGGCTGGTACTTCCAGACAGACAAGATATCCCTGGGTCCTCCAGAGCCTAGACAGACACAGGCTTTGGTTTGGCCAAGATTGTGGTTTGCATCTTAAAAGCAGAGGCAGCAATTGAGCACAGAGTCCTGAACCACACAATCCAGCAAAGGTATTTCTCCCGAAGATACAGCCTCAAAACTAAGAGATCTGACAGTGCTGTTCCAGTTCTGTGAACTCCCAAATGAAGGTCTTCCCTGGGGAAAAGAAAAACCTGTCTTTAACTGAGGAGGAACGTTTAGACATTTCCACAGCTTTCTAATTCAGAGTGGGCTGGACCTGAAAGCTCTGAACGTGAATAACCCTGGGAGACACAGGAACAGTGACTGCATTTTTGACACTGATATTTGAAGGTGGTTTTCTTTTCCCTTGCATGATTTTTTTCTGCAACTGTGGCATAACAGGAACAGGATTTGGATACCTGGTAAACTGAAGAGGTGTCTGTGTGTGCATGAGATTTTGTAAGGGAGGAAGAGAAAAAACAACGTGCTGAAGAGTTTTGAAATTGTCTCAGATTGCATTGTATAGTGAGTGGGAAAAGGGGACTCTGATGCAATTGGAGACATTCTTGGAGAGGGGAAGTCAAAGCTGAACATTTATATTGCTTTTTTCTTCAGTCTTCATACATTAGAAGATTATTACATGACTTCTCTCCAGTTTATTTGAACAAAGTATGGAGGACTGAGCAGTGCAGAGTGCTATGTGTTTCCAGTCCAGGACAAGGCAGAGTTCTGGGATGTGATTACCTGTGAAAGGTACAGGAACCTACTGTGAACTGGTGTGTTTGGAAAAAAGGAGCTGGAGGGCTCACAAGGGAACCACGAGGAAAAAACATGCAGAGTATGTGCTCAGTGCATCAGTGATAATGAGAAGAGTTTTCTCATACTTCAAAGAGTAACTAATTCATCAAAAGTAAAGACCTTTCCATCTCCTCTGTGAACAAAGGGACTGATCAAAGAAAAAGTCCAGTGCAAATGGACTGCCTGGGTTCTTTCTCCACCAGGAGTTCTCCATTATGTGATGACAGCAGAAGAAGGTACAAACAAAATCTCCTGGTATTTAAATTAAAATCTGTATTTCCACTGCAAGACAGAGAGACTGTTTTGACATAACTGACCTCAAAACCAAATGTGTGGGTGTTGAGGTCCTGCAGATCTTGTAAATTTGTAAATTGCAGGACTTTTCTGCTAAGCATTAACAATAGTTAGGGAAGTCAAGAGGACTCACAGATGATATCTGCATATATACAGGATGTATTTTTCATGCTTCTCTGTTTTGGGCAGGTGAGAACATAAGGAAACCTTATGCGACAGCAGCTTACAAAAACTCTAAGGTGCAAACTTCCAGCAGCAATCTCCTGTCATTACAGAAGTCAGGTTCAAATATGTTTGCCAACAAAAATGGAACAAGGAAATAATGTAATCCCATGATCTAACATATCCTGTGTTGAACTATTTCTTCATAGAAGGCGACTTAATTTTTGGTATTTTTCAGACCCGTGGTTCTAGAGTAGCTTTTAGGAGCCAGAATATCTTTTTAGGTATATGGATATGGGCAAGGCATCAATTCCTGCCTTGTACATCTTCACACACACTGTGGCAGGGGTATCTGCAGGCTCACAGAGTTAAGCTTCTGGCTTGCTGCCCTCATCATCCTTGGAGGAATGAGGGATCTGTCGAGCTTAGAGGACATTGCTATTTAGTAGCAGCAATATTACTCTGCTAGGTGATGTCACTGAGGTTATATTTATATTTGGATATGTGTAATATTTATTAGCTAGAGGGTGTTGCACAACATAATATTGTGATGTGTTATGTTTGTTTTTCTTTTGCAGTATTTCTATGCACACAATACGTGTTTTTGCAAACAATAAAATTGCTGAGTCTCAACTGTGGCTTTCACTATATGTTAGCAAAAATGTAAAACCCATCCTCATGCAATTATAATCATACAGTTTGCTCTTCCTCCAAGTCCACCCCACCAAGAAGCAAACAGGCTTTTGCTCAGAACTGTGGCTGTGCTCTGGGATTAGATTATGTGTTGTGTTTATGGGAGTATGAAGTATTCAGAATCTCTGCAAATTGGGTAATTTACTATATGAACACCAGATTTTTAGGTCTAAACATCCATCATGGTGGCTTTAAATTCTTTGAATCTTCATAAAAAGAAGTACTATTTGAAGTAGTAGTATTTGAGTGCTCCTAAAGGGTGTTCCCCCCAAGATAATTTACAGGGCACTTCAAGAATCTCAGAAGGGCAGTGCCTTACTGGGATAACTGCATGATGTCAGTGTACTGTAACCCAGTCTCCTCCCACCAGAGCAGTGTCTATGGTAAGTTTAGATGGGTGCCCTTCGTGTGGCTTCACTGGATACGTTCCCCACAGAGTAGAGGTCAGAACACCAGAGCCCTGCTGCAAAGTGAGTAACCTTTCTCTGAATACCCCTTCCCTGTCTCCTTAGAAAGCACTTGCAATCTGCTGAATGTTTCAGCCACTCCACCTTTACCAGATGGAAAAGTGTTTCAGCAAGGTGGAATGTTGTGCTTGTCCCTATTTTCCCGCTGGCTTTCCCGGGCAGTGGGTGCACGGCTCTGCTGACGCTGCACACTTGGCTGGAGCCAAGGCCCAGAGCTCTATCCCAGCGTGTCCCCAACCTGCTGCTGTGATGGCCAGGCACAGGCACAGCCAGGCTGGCGTCCCTGCTAGGAAAAGGCAGTCAAGCAGCAACCTCATCTAGAAAGAGCAGCTGATGCCTCTCAGTGGAGACCAGGGGCTGGAGTGTGGCAGAATTAGCCATGAAAAGCTCTTTTCCTGGGCATGTGTTGGTCACCCCAGGGAAGTGGTGGTTGTCAGCACACAATTACCTCAAAATCAGGCCTGAAAAAAAATCTAGAATTTCCTGAAACATTTTTTAATTAACATATTTTTTGTGTGATGTTCGGCTTTGTCCCTCTCTGAACGCTGCGCTTGTCAGCGTGGACGGATTCAGGTGAATGGCTCTGCTAAATCTCACTTGGCAGCCACTTCAAATTTGTGTGTGTTCTTTGTGTGTTCAGCTCGTCCCACCATCATGTTATCTCTCCCCTCCACCCCTCCACACAGAGCCAGCTGATGCACATACTCCTGAATCTGTAGCTGCATGGGGCTGCTCCTCGCTGTCATCCTTCCCAGCCTGCAGAGAGATCTGCAGGACAAATGCAGAGAAGCTCATTCTATTATTCTACAAGCTAAGACAACACGGAGCAGAAAATTAAAATATTATCCTAACATTCATGGAATTCCCATCACCCTGAGCCTGGCTGATAAAGGGACCAGATTAAACTGTGCAAAAAAACACAACCCACAAAAGTCTTTGCTGCCACAGCTTTCTTGAACTGACCTGGTTTCACCCATGGCCTCAGAGCAGTATTAGCTGTTAAATCCTTTGTGTCTGGAGTAACAGTGCTCACTTACTGAATTTTTCTGACAAGAATTAAATAGTAAAAAGAGGAATGATGGCTACAAAATGTTCTAGTCAGAGGTGAGATAGAGTCATAGATATCACAAAATCATAGAATAGTTTGGGTTGGAAAGGACCTTTAAAGGTCATCTAGTCCCACCTCCAAAGAAGAAATGCTATTCAGGGGAAAGAGAAGGGTCTACTCCCAGAGATGATATTAATACATTTTTTCAGGTGTAGTCCTCTCCTGTAAAACAAAGACAGTTCCTAAGGTTGTCCTGCTGCTTTTCTAGTTTGCAGACCCTGGTGCCTTTAAGCCCATCGCATCCATTCAAATCATGGTAAGCAGAACTGCAGTGTAGGGTCTACATCTAGACCTGTATCTAGACTTCCATCAGTCCTGGGGTATCCACCAGCGTCTTACAACAAGATAGCTCTGTAGAGGGCTTGTGTCAGTCAGCATGGGGCAATCAGTGTTCCTCTGGAAGCTGTGAGAGTTCCAGTTTGGATTTCATAGTAGATCTGAAGAGCTGTATTAGAGCTTTAAAAAGAAATATAAGCAGAAGGAATGGAAACTTGTCCCTGAAGAAAAGCCAGATGCCAAAAATGCCAAAAGGAAGACCTTTTGGATGTGGTGCTGACTCAGAAGAGGATTGGAGCTGCAAGCACAGGCATTGCCTTCTGGTTTTGGCCCCCAACATGCTCAGTCATCCGAGGCTCTATATGTATGCTATATGTACCTGTATTCTGCAAATAGCATGTTTGTTAGGACGGTAGGTTAAACTTAACAATGGTCCTCTGAAGGGCAGAGGGGCTGAACACCCGAGACCCAGCGAAACACAGCTGCAGGGAGACGGGGAATCCCAGCCGGGTCCTGCCTCCTCAGGGACCCAAACCCACTTTGCCAGCATCAGGCCTCCGAAGGGCTGCAGCAGCTGCCCCCAGCCCTGTTCCCTCCCAGCCCCGGAGGGGGTGGCTGGCGGCCTTCCCCGACCCCGACCCCGCCGGCGCCGCGCTGCCGCCAGCCCGGCCGGCCCCGGCGGAGCGACCACCGCAGGAGGTCCCCCCATCCCCCGCGGGGGAAGAGCTGCGGGTCCCCCTCCCGGCGAGGAGGGGGATGCAGCCCCCGGCCCCGCCGCGCATCCCCCGCGCTGCTGGGGGAGGAGCCGCCCGCGCCGCTCCAGCCCCTTCCCGCGGCGAGAGCCGGGGCTCCCCCCGCCGCCGCGCCGCGCGGAGGGGCCGGCGGAGAGCCGCGGAAGTGCACTTGCTGCAGCCATTTCCTGCTCTTTGTGCGGGCGGTGCGGAGCATCCCGCGGAGCATCCCGCGGAGCATCCCGCGGCGCGGAGCATCGCGCCCGCCGAGCGCAGGTGAGCGGGCGCGGGGGTGGGCG